TGTTACTGAATACACTCCACAGAAAGATATTGTCTTTCTGGAGCCTGGCAAAGGCCCAAGAAAAATGACAATTGATCTAGTCATTGATGGTTCCAGTCAGACTCCACTTATGAGTAGGTGGAAGATGTTGTAGGATTCCAGGATGCTGGGAGAACCTCCCCTACCCCCACCCAGAGAAATGTGGCTTAATTCCAAATGTAGAACCTGATTCCTTTGTCTTTAAGCCAAGCCAGCACTTTGTCCATTGTTAACAGTTAAAAACCTCTGGGATAAAAAATGAAAATACGGACAATGAGAGAATCTTGATTTGTTCATTGTTGTGTTCCCAACATCTAGATAGTGCCTCATGCATAGTAGGCATTCAGTAATTATTTTTGAATGAATGAACACATTAAATCTTACCAGATCTTGATTCTCAGGCGTGAATGACATCATCAGATCCTTCCAAGACCCTGCAGAAGGGTCTGAATTAGTGGAGGCGTCTCAGCATGGAGAGCCCCCACGAGGGCACTAGCAGAGTCATGGTAGTGATCTTTAGTCGTTATTTTGCAGGGGGAGACCCTAGGTAGAGAACATTTGTGGAGACAACTGATGAGATCTCAAAAATAAAAAATCCCACCACTCAGCCGGTCCACCTAACACATCAGGCAATTAACAATACAAAAGGGAGGCCTAGAACATATCCCAATGGTAAGCATGACATTCGAGGTGTTTTCAGAGAAGTATATGGGGATGGGGGTTATATGCCATGAAAAGAAGGACTCCTGTTTTCTGTCCTTCCCGTGAAGAATGGCGTAGACTTACCTGGAAAAACAGTAGGGTCATACAGTACCAACAAAACCCAATGAAAATCTGTAAATAGACTTTGGCTGTTTATAAAACTTAGGGGAAAGGGATCATTCAGGATATAAGTGATCTTTCTGACCTGTTTACTACCTCAAAGAAAGAAAGTTTCAAAACTGAGATCTCAGCAGCACTAGTTTCCAGTCGCCCTACAAGCTACCCATGAGACAACAAAGGGATTTTGTATCCTAGGAAAGTAGGGCTAATGACCACGAAACATCTGCTTTCTCTCCTGCCCACTACTTTACCGCTTTGCTTCTAGCCTGCAAGGTTACAGACTAGATTGAAAGGGAAATATTGTACGCACCTGTAGTTTTATTACTTATCTCTGTTTCTCTGGCAGTGTTCATTTTGAGGCTTGCTTTAAGAAATCCAAACCTATAATTACATCTTAAATGTCTCTGGGAATTGCAGACATTGAAGATCTATTTTGAGGTAGTTTGCATGGCATGGGTTTTGTGCCTGTGTGCAGCAGAAAGCTACAGTATCTACCACGTGAATTGTGATTATCTGTTAACACTTCTGCCTCCTCTGCTAGACCCAAAAAGTTCTCGAGGCCAGAGGCTATGTTTTAGAGTTTTGTCATCCTTGACATCTCTCGCCCTACCCCCCCCCCAACACCTCCAGGCCATCCTCATCTTCCCCGATTTTATTTATTAGGTTATAATTGTAGCTTTAAAAAACACACAACCGTATTTGCCATTCTTCAGCGCACAGTTCAGTAGTGTGGAGTATATATATTCACATTGTTGGGCAACATCCTCTTGATTTTTACCTCCTAAATAGTTGTGAGATTCAATCACTTCCCTCCGATCTTTTGTGGCCGCCCTTGCAGCCACGTGGAGAGGCTCGCGTGGAAGAGAAGTAGGTCCCGGACTCACAGCTCCAGCTGAACTCTCTCAGCGGACAGCTGGTACCAATTGCCAGCCTTTTGAGTGAGTTCTCTTAGAAGTGGATACTCCAGCCCTGGCTGAGCTGCCCCAGCTGATGCCACACGGAAGAGACATGAGCTGTCTCCGGAGTCATGCCCAAATTGCAAAACTGTTAGCCAAAAAGTAAATGCCGTTGTTTTAAAACACTGAGTTTGAAGGTGGCTTGTTATGCAGCGATAGATAACTGAGACATAAGTGCATATCTAGAGGTAACGTCCTGGTGTGTAGAAACTTAGAGCACGTGGCAGTGGCTTTGGGACCAGGTGGAGGATGGAAGCTGGAAGAACTTTGAGGAATCTACTAGTGAAGAGCATTACTATGGGGCAGTGAGTATTGTCATAACAGGCTAGAGAGAGGGGGACCCGATTTATCCATTGGAAAAACAATTAGCTGAACAAGATTGCTGGTACATGTAAGATAGAAAAGATACCTAATGAACAAGTGGATCTGGTTAAGGAGATATTTGGATAGATGTTGTAAAGGTTGAAGAATTTTGGGGGGCACCTGGGTGTCTCAGTTGGTTAACTGTCCGACTTTGGCCCAGGTCATGATCTCAGGTTTGTTGAGTTTGGGCCCCGTGTCGGGTTCTGTGCTGACAGCTCAGAGCCTGGAGCCTGCTTCAGATTCGGTCTCCCTCTCTCTGCCCCTCCCCCACTTGCTCTCTGTCTCTCTCTCTCAAAAATAAATATTAAAAAACTAGAAAAAAAAAGTTGAAGAATTTCTTTCAGATACTTATAGTACAAGTGAGATGAGCCAAAAA